AGTGAATGATTAATAGCCCATTGATTGTCAGCAGTCAACTTTTTATTCTATTGGTATAAATAACAATTTTCATCTCATAAATTATGCTAGGAGATTAGTTAGTTCAATGGATGTTTGGTTAACTCCCATAGTTATACAATTTGGAAAAGTACTATCAGCTGACATGATGAAAGAAAAACTTTACAGAGCTTTCCTGACAAATTTAAGACGACAGCTGTTCTTTGGGTTTACATATAAACGAATGAATGATGTATACAAATGAATGACTTTTAGAAAAGTTTTATTAATTCGAATAATTGAGAAGTAAAATCTTAGACAGTAGAACTGAATGATGCTCGTCCAACTCTCTAAGGTAATATTGATTTCCTTCAAGTTTGCTTATATGTTTTGATGATGACCACCACAATGCATACATGACAGATCCCAGGTTTCCTACTAAGTGAATCGTAACATTTATCATTGACTAGTAACTGGTGAGCGACCAGTCTCATACTGTTCAGTTCTGAGTGCAGACCGAATTCTATCTATTATTTCACAATCTAGTCACCAAACTACCAGGGTAACCATCTCGGTGTACTTTGATGGATATTAGTTGGTTGAGATCAGTGCGCAGGAAACTCCTGATCAAGGTTACATCCTTTTTGGCAATCAACGTTGCAGATACACCTTACTGATGAGTGCCAACAATTACGAAACCTAGGCTCAGGACTTCCTTCCGATTCCCATTAATAGAATAACAATATTATCATTTTGTCTAACACAACGATGGTACAGTGAAATTAGTCGGAAAATTCTAGTTTGTAATTAAGTTTTGAAAGTGATATCGCTCACCTTCTCATCATCAATCTATATACTGCTAATATTTATTATTGTAGTAAATGTGCATGGTTCTTTCGATGTCTTTATGGTGACGACGGTATTTAATTCTTAATGTTTATTGAGTTTTTAGGCATCATTTTCATCCCCATACCAGTTACATGGGTGAATAACTCAGTTGTTTGATCTAAAATAACCTAAATGAACATTCTATTGAGGTTATCAGTGAACGTAACGAATAAAACAACGCTAAATGGTATCGATTTCTTAAGTGAATGTACAAGCCAACAATACTTGCATGATAAACTTGAGCTTTTCGTTTTAACACCGATTATGGTATGTTAAGTAGTGCCTAATTATATTAGTTTTCAAAGAAGATCATAGTGAATGTTCAGCACTTGATTTTTATCTAGATAACCTTACAGAACTGTTTTTCAGCTACGAGTCAATAAATCTAGATTTATCAGTAATTTTTAATTGAATGACTTGTCTGGTTATTATATCTAACTTTCTGTATCATTACAATAACATGCTTCGTTAAATACTACAACCAATTTCTGAACTAAAAAAGCTTAAAATCTATTTCTAACAAAGTTATAATGACGATTCGAGTTTTACTTATCTTACTGAATGGTGAGGTTATATAATTTGTGACTTGTTGTTATCATTCTGTACTTGGTAGTAATTGAAAATGTTTGTCAGATGAACGAATATTAGATGCTTTTTGCAAATAAGCTATACAATATAGCTAGAGCGAAGAAAGAGTTTCTTCCGAATACAAAAACTTGGCTGGTTCGTGAAGTCATCATCGACCTACTTCAGATGATACAGTTTAATATTACTGCATTAAATGATCTCCTTATGGCGTACTTTAGGCTATGTGTCACAATTTCACTAATGGTGTCACCTCAAAACTGTAGTCTTATAAACAGTGGTTTCTTGGAAATTGTAGATACTCTGGTTTTTTATATAAAATATGTTCATATTTTTAAAAATAAACTTTTCTAAATTTCCATTACCACTTAGTAGATCACAGATAATTTGAAGTTCTTTATCCGAATCATCATCTGAATAGATGTCTCGCTCCATAGACCGAATATCTGATCAAATATCTTATATATATATATTGCAAGAGGATGGAACTCAAAAAAATATGTGTTGACTGACTGACATTGTTTCCTGATATACACTCCTATTTACGGTTCAATCCATCTTCCTTGTCAATTATGCACATAAGAAGGTGATTCTTTCGTCACTTTCTCTCTCACTGGTGAAGGTTATCACTGAATGGATACTGTTGAATTTACCCAGTACAATACTTGGATCATCCGCCTTCTTGAGAATTAGAAATGTAACATACATCTATTGGCAGTAAAATTCTTACTCACTTCTTATGTTTTCGAAAAGCCATTTTCCAATTTCCGTAGGCACAAATCTACTAACATTGTCCCTAGTGTTTATCTCGTAGCAGCACCATATGACTGTCCGTAGAATTTCTTTTCAAAGAGGAAATACACATTGATTGTACAGCTTAAGAGAAGTTCTTTCAGGATAGATCCCATAGTTCCAGTTTCTTTTCTTCTCTTCGTCGGTTCGCTACATTTGAAATCTGATGCGTCTAAAGATATCATAAGCGTATTATCCACACTCAAATATCTTATCCTTACAATAAACTGAAAAGCTATTCGATGAAAATTTGTTCTCTAAACCAGAGAGTTTGATCACGAAGCTTTCATTTTCATTTTTGACAACATGGTCAATTTCAGAAAGAAGTATCTTTAACATTGTACTTTACAACTTCATTGTGTAATGCTCGCAAGAGTTCTACTAGCGACTGCGCAGTCGCATGAAGTCGAGAATTTGACTCGTCAAGAATCGGTTGAAGTGGTAGTCCATTTTTATATACTTTTTAAAAACCCTCATGACCTTGGTGTTACTGTACCTGTAGGTCCAACTGTTTTACACACACTGCAAAATAAAGGCTTACTATTTCAAATCTTCTAAAGATTCAGATAACTGCCTTTCAGTCTTCTTGGGTATGTTAATACTGAATGATAACTTCTGGAATTTATCATACATTTTAATGAAAATACTTGTCATCCTCAAAAACAGTCATATCTCGGTGAATCAGTCCTAAGATACATTTAGCCTGTGCACTGGAGTATCTGATGGCATTTCTCTTTAAACGAAGCACAATGCTTCTCAGATGATTAGGGAAGTCTCAGCTGATTTCAAAACAAAGATAAGAAAATACCACATTCTTATTAAGGTGTACTGAGTACATATCCTGTCGGGTGTAGATAAGCCTGAAGCTTGATTGACTGGATATCGATAAAATTGACGGGAAATAGTGAGAATAGCTAGGACAAATGCAGATCAGAAGCTTTCGACAGTTTCATTTTCTAGGGAATGGTGATCCTCAACCTTATGTATAAGAGTGAATAGTCTTATATTCCTGGCTAAGCTGAGCTAGGTGATGTAGGGTTTGAAAGTGGTAGTAACTTATTTAAAAGCTGACCGCATAATGTGATAAGCCTCGCTTTTACAATGCTGACATCCAAGTAATTATAAAGACCTCAGTATGGTATTCTTCATACAGTGACATCAGTTGGAGAAACATTGGAAATCTGGGAACACTGGACAGCTGTTTCGCCCTAGTACGAGATTTCTCCGCAGTGGGTACCCATGACCTCACCAGGGACCAAACCTAGGATCTTCAGGTTCCATGACCAGCACGTTACCGTTGAGCCACTGGGTTGAAGCCCATCGGTTCACATTTCCTATTTCTTTCGATTCGTGATATAGTGTGACCTTCATCCAATGTCGTCTTTGAATGACTGTACTCATATTCGACTTGGTTGACTACACTGGTCATGACTTAACATTGAAACTTCACGGATCACCTCTCGAAGCTGGTCGCCAGTGAGCACTAGATTAATTCAATTTTGAGGTTTGTGAGAACTTATCGATTTCAGCTTGGAAGTGGGGAACATGGACTATTGGATAACGATCCAGTCGCCCAACGGTCACGTCCTGAGCTCAGAACATGGAGGTCTTGGGTTCGATCCCTGATGGGATTATGGATGCGCACTGCTGAGAAGTCCCGAAATAGGACGAAACAGGGCTGATGCACACTGAGACAAAAGGATCAGTTAAATCAGGGGGTTATCATGAAAAAGGCTTAATTAAACGGTAACTTCCCTGACCACTACCGGTAGCTGCCACTTTGATGTGATAGGACTTCATGCTCATCGTAATAACCTAAAAAGCTACGCTGTCTAGATATCCTAGTATGTTAGAAACTTCCGCTGAATAGTTGTAAGACTACAAATAGTTACTGCAGTTGTGCAAAAAGCTAATCCTATGGAAGTGGCGATATGAAGGCAAAGCGTTACTACAAGTTGAAAGGGATTTGATAGCAGTAAGGTGTTTCATGTGGGTGACCACCATTTCATACTGATGGTGGGTTGCCTTATTAAAAGTGATAGTCTCATAAACAGCGCATACTCCTTCATGCACTGTGGCTTTCAAAGCCCGTCATATGGGTTTTTACGGCCAAGATACAACACAATCAAAACATAATCTCAAAACTTCCTGAAAGGCTGTATGTATACAGTCTCAAGCACACATCTCTAGAGGGCTGTAGTTACATAAAAGAAACCTATTTTTATTACAGATGCCTCAAGGTACTCTCAGTGATATGAAAAGTTGAGAAGTACCAATTACCGACATGTTTTTAGTAGCATACAAAATTCTATAAACTGTTTTCAAAATCAGTTAGACATACTTAAGTTATACAACATAATTGTCATGACAGACTAGATTTGTTAAGTGTACTAAAGTAACTGAAAAATGTTATGATTAAGTTATACAATTTGTTTCAATAGTTAGCAAGTACAATTTCACACTACCCTGAATCCCTACGTGACAATAATTAACAAACTTGGACTATGTATCAAACAGTTGAATGAAAATAATCATAGTGTAGGAAATTCAGTCACCAAATGGAAAAAAAGGACTTTCATTATTATGTCATATCATTTTTCACTGAAATGACCTATATGGTCTAGTCATCTGATAGGTTTTAAATACCAGAGGTAAAAAAAAATACTATCTGGTTGATTATTCAGCGTCATACAATTCTGTAAATAATGTCTAATAAATTGTTATACACATAAACTTACCGCTTTTTAACTATATAAATCGATGAAATTTTTGGCATAATGATCATTTGGGAAAAATCATTTTCATCATCATTCAGAAACTTTATTCCAATCTGTGTTTGTACTAGATCTAGAAGGAAGAAAAGTGATAAGATTAAGAAGTAATGAGAAACAAATGTTTTCCTATAAAATATATACGCAATGTGCTTCAGGGAGGTTTTGCCTATTTAATGGATAAAAATTCTAAAAATCAGTTTTTTTATGAAACAACTACAATTTAAGTATTTGTTGATACTTGGATCGAATTGACTCACCTTTATTGGCATATGTGGAAGCTTCCCACCTAACCGTATATTCATTATAATATAATTTACCTAGCAATGATTCCCGTTCCACAATAGATGATACTTGTGCGTCAGTGGTCTAGTGGACAACGCTGTGGGTATGAGCGAAGGGATGCATGCGAGGTTCGAGTTTAGGTGAGAACGCTACCACTCACCTGAGTGCAGGTTCATCTAGCTGACAGGTTAATATCAAGCAGGACGAAACCTACATCCTTTATTCCACTAATAATTATCACTAAGTAAATTACAACTATGATATCGTCTAGATTTCACACTGAATCATCTTAAACCTGAGAGAAACATTCGATTCACGACTAATCGCCTCCAATGTAATGGAATATGTATACCAGTAATAGAAGTTCCAAAATGAATTTCAAAATCAGGAACTGCGCTATTCAACATAAAGTCTCGTCTTTCCTTAGAACATTAGAAGTCATCAAACAAGGAAATATGGTTTACTTCAACTTCATAGGTACGCTTTATGCGTAAAAGTAAAAATAATGATACCTAGGTCAAAAGCTTCATACTGATTCATTCAGAAAATTGATGATCAAAATCTTTGAACCACTATACAATCCTGCTTGGCCTGATGATTATAATTTATCGAGGACAATGAATACTCAATAATCAGATTTTGACAGCCATATTGCTTAACAATAAGCATAAATGATAGTGTAATTTAATGTTTTTTGACTTTTTTTTCGAAAAATAAATAGATGTTAGTCGAGGCTTAATTGTTTGAGAAGATTTTCTATCCAGACATGAACACATTTTACACTATAACAGTTAGTTGATACAAAACTTAACTTTTCAGTCATTATCTAGTCACTTGCTTTTAATTATGATATTTAAAGCATAAACTGGAATTCTGATTATCATTTTGACTATCTGAGATAGCCGTAGTTTGGTAGAATAATACTGATACTCAGTTATGATTGCATATGGAATGGGAATTCGGGCCATGGTTGGATTCGAACCAGAGACCAATGAGTTTACAACCCGGTACTCTACCAACTGAGTCACAAGTACTGGGTGCTGATTTTTATTTTAAATTCAGTCACCAAGAGTTTCGCCTGACTGCCATGCGAATTTGTGACACGTTACTATCGCTTGAGTATTCTCAAACTAGTTCCCCAGTTAGGACTTCTCATCCTAATCCAAATCTAACTGGAGTAAAGAGGGGGGAGCATCAATTGGTAGATCACCAGGTCGGAAACCCGATGGTCTGTGGTTCGAACCCGGCTGTGGTTCAAATTTCCATCTCATCCTCAGTCATCACCCAGTATCAGTACTAGTCTGCTAAACCACGGCTATTTCAGATAGTCAGATGGATAATCGATATAATGCTCCTCCTGTTTAGTTCAGTCAGATTGGGACGAGAAGTCGTGACTGAGTAGCTAGTGTAAATACAATCAAGTGATAGTAAGGCGTCACAAATTCATAAGTTAGTTGGGCGAAACCCTTAATGATTGAATCAAAGTAGAAATCTGGCCAACAGCCAGGCGTTGTAGCTCAGTTGGTAGAATAGCCTGTCCACACCCTGTGGTCACTGGTTTGAATCTCACCCCTGACCAAATTTTAGTTTCACCTTCAATAAAATCACCCAGAATCAAACCGTAATTAGCATCCTTATCCCTTTTGTCTTATTCTTTACTGATTTCGTTTAAAACGTTTTGCTAAGCATCACATAAATTGGTAGGCTGCAGCGAACTTACGCATGGTTACTGTGTGCTGGAAAATTAAATCACCTTTGTGGTAAGTAATATTATTTTCAGCTTAAAATACTTTAAACCAGTATTATAGTCATTACCGCTAATACATGTATAGTAATGATGGGCAGTGACTAGTAGTGGAATCCAGGATGCGCATTTCGTCCTATTTGAGACTCACCAGTCAGCTGGATATACCTACCTCCCAGTGAAGGATGCTGTTCCCACTGGGACTCGGACTAGAGAGCGATCGCTTCAAATGCCAGACCGTTATCCACTACACCACCTTGCCACAATAGCCACTTCCCATCATTACTATAAATAGTTAAAAGACAGGCAATATCGAGGCATCCGCATAGGAGCCCATATGCCAACAGAGACTGATCAAATCGGTCCAATCAACGACGGTGTCATACAAGCAATAATACTAATACATGTATTGTTAAAAATGTAAAGTTTAATAAAAATTTATTTTCTTAAAGGTTTATTAGCAAAGTTTGTTGTAATGACAATAATCGCGGATGAAAGCAGGCTAAAAAAGAACAGATCATTCAACGGAAACAATTCACTATATCGTTATATGTTTACATGTTTTAGCTATAAATTTTAGTACGACTCAACTGAAAACTTGTCAACAATAATTTACAAATGATAGAGTTTTCACAAGTGAACTACTTCAATTTGCCTATTTGCATTTATGTTGAGTATATAAGCAGATAAGATGTTACCGATGACCGGGATCGCAGTTGAATTATGATTAATGTTGAGTGAGAAATATCAAGATTGAATATGATTCATTGTATGATGTGCATTCTACTTATCTCCACAAAATGTAGCAAAAATAATGGAAACAGAAAGGCTTATTATGCAGCTAATGGTTTGATTCATAGAAGCCACTCCCTAACACCTAGTACAGCACGTGAACAACAATTTCACATTCCACTCTATTCACAAATTCAGATATACATGTAGGGCACATACATAGAGATATATCGGAGTAAGGACCTTGGAACATATTCCAAAAAGGGCAGTCTGCCTAACCTTTGGTATTCTATTCATTCACTAATCCAACTAGACGCTTATTTAATACCAGGTACCTGTTTTACATTATGTGGCTTTTGTTACTATTATTATTAACTTTATTCAAATGAAGTACTTATTTCACTTGAAGATATTCTACAAGGAATGAATTTGTTGAACTGTTACACGCTGAGAACTCCATAATTTATCACAAGTCTTGTTTGTAATCAACTAATTCTTATTATTAAACCAAATCGAATCACCTGAACCTATAAACTGTCAAAACAGACGTGTTATTTCTTCGACTGCGAAAAATAGCGTTGTGATAGTCTACAGGAGTGACATTTCTACCCATTTTATACCTTTTTATAAAACATGTTTCCGGCGAGTTCTTAAATTTGTTTAGGTCTTACCTATTAGAAAGTTTAAGCCACCTTTGTATGTCCCAGAACGACAACCGTTCTTGGTGAATTCAACTCTGAAACCAAGTTCGATATACTATTATTTTCCCATTACTGGTTTTCGGTGTTAATTAGCCTCATTATCTGACCTCTTTTCAAGTTCTCACCTCTTATCTCTTTATAAACTTTCCTATAAACACCCATGACAAATAAGTGTATGATCAGATTATTCAAAATGTGTTGCACAAATACTTAACAAGATGCAACCAAATTGCATATTCTTCTTGTTTTTTGAAGTTTATCAAGGTAACAAATTGTTTTCAGTCAAGTAAAACATCTTTTGTTTACTGTGACATTTAACACGACTTATACAGCAGTAAGATAAATCAGTTACAAGAAAATATATCAACTGAGTGCAAAACACTTTTCGAAAACAAGCTACCTAGTGTAATCGTTTTCAACACATATAAAATTGACAGGTTGTTTCTCGTTAATATTCCTTAAAGAATTTTTTTCAAATATACTTTGAATTTAATTTAATTTGATCTGTTAGATTTATTACACAGTGGAACAGTAATATTTGCTGGATTACGTTTAGGACACAATTTATTGCCTACATAGTCGTACCGAGATAACTACACAACTTTGAGGTAGCTTCCATAGTTCTCATTGTCTCGCCTCCTTTGTGATATGAATATTTCGTATGTCAGGAACAGGTGTTAAGTCGTTCCTGTTGCATGCATCTGGTATTGATTCAGTAATCAAAGATTCGATTATCAATCTCTCCCTTCACCCTATTAAGTTAGTTTCAGGGATTATCACTCTGTCTCATCTTTTTATATGGTTCTGTGTAATTGCATGCATAACTATGTCCTACCTTTACCCTAGATTCATTACCTTAACAATGATCTATCATTTTTGCTTCAGCTACGTTTCTACCGTTATATTGATATGCCTTTAATATCATCTTTGTTTTTCCTTCATCGATTCAACTGTATGCTAACGATTAAACTGAGATTGAGTAATAACTCGATCAGAATGAAAATTTTTAAAAACCCTGACGTAATTCTTGAGTTCATTTTGAGAAGAAGTTGTACCTGAATTGGTTCAACTCTTCTCACAAATTCCAGTTTTTACTATATACCTAAACCTGAAATGTTTTCACATGAAGTAATAAAACTAAGCATACCTTCACCAGACAAGTTTATATTATCATCTGCATACCACTCTGCAAGGTGTATTACACCGGCCATGGGACAAAAACAGAAAAGAATTTAAAATAATAAAGAACGGGATGAATGGAACTTTATATGCGCTGGACTGCTGAAAAGACCTTAGAAGATCTGGATTTCGCCACCGATAATGATTTATGTTTAATGTCTTGTCGCACAAACTCCAAGATCTACAGGCAAATGCTAGCAAGTTGACAGAAGAATCAGCTAAGGGAGGCGGGATTTCAAGTGAATGTAGGGAAGACGGAGGTGACGAAGATACCCACTCAACAACAAGCACCAATCACGATGAACTGGAGAAATCAAAAGGAAGTAGTCTCTTTCACCTACCTAGGTGGCAGGCAGCATCGTTGCAACTACAGGTAGCACAGACGAGGATGTCAAAACCAGGATCGGACAGACAGCAAGAAGGACTTTCATAAAA